GTCACAGTCAGAGACTGGTGGTACTTGTCCCGGTCAGAGGCTGGTGGTACTTGTCACAGTCAGAGACTGGTGGTACTTGTCCCGGTCAGAGGCTGATCGGCTTTCAATTGCTCCTTCTTATTTCACATACATGTGTCTAAATTTTTATCAATTAAAGGGAGGCTATTCGTACTCCAAAAGTTAAAGAATTGACTTCATTAAATCACTTTTCATGGCCTTCTAAACAAAAACAATATGTCAATGCTGAATGTTGATATAAATATGTTATATTTCAAGAAATATTAAAAATCCTTTAGTTTTATTTTTTAATATTCGAAAAGCAACTCTCTTGTCACAACGTCACGTGCATTTTCCATTCATCAAAGCAAACTTAGCTGAAAACTGTATGGGTACAAATGTTTGCTGACATAAATCAATATTTTCAGTATTTGATCCCTTTCGTTGCCTTATCATCTAAAGAAGATGTACTTTAAATAACAACTATGACATTCTCCACTGTCATACGTAGCTTTTAACTGAAACGAAGGGAGGTAACTCGCGTATAACAGAAAGCAACTACTGTGACTGGATCGAAATATGAGATGTCTTGGAGTTGATATTTTAAATATGAAATGTGTCATAGTGGGAAAAGTGTGATTATGACAAATGTTGGACAGTGATCCAACAGAATCGAAGGCCCGTGATCAACTATTTGATTGACCAAAATTCTGGCCTTTCGCTGGACTAATACCGGTCCGTGAAGATTACTAAGGCATTACAACCAAGTCAATGTAAATTATACAAGGTGATCAAACGTAAATATGATTCCTTTATAGTTTCCAGACTTGTCAGTTCTTATCAACAGTCAATCTGACGTGGTATTCTGAAGGTAGCACACAGTATGCATTTTTCGAACAACATAAACCTACTACATACATTCAGGAAAGAAAGGTGCAGAAGTTGGAGTTATGATACCCAGGCGTTAACACGAACAACATATGTTGGGAAGATTCTCAAGCAATTGGTTCAAACAGTGACAGTGACAGTGACCAGTGACAGTGACAGTGACCAGTGACCAGTGACCAGTGACCAATGACCAGTGACCAGTGACCAATGACCAATGACCAGTGACAGTGACAGTGACAGTGACCAGTGACAGTGACAGTGACCAGTGACCAGTGACCAATGACCAGTGACCAGTGACCAATGACCAATGACCAGTGACAGTGACAGTGACAGTGACCAGTGACAGTGACAGTGACAAGTGACAGTGACAGTGACCAGTGACAGTGACAGTGACAAGAGACAGGTGACAGTGACATTGACCAGTGACAGTGAACAATGACCAGTGGCAGTGACAGTGACCAGTGACAGTGACAAGTGACAAGTGACAAGTGACAAATGACAAGTGACAGTGACATTGACCAGTGACAGTGACCAGTGATCAGTGACCAGGTACAGTGACCAGTGACAGTGACCAGTGACCAGTAACAGTGACCAGTGACCAGTGACAGTGACCAGTGACCAATGACCAGTGACCAGTGACCAGTGACAGTGACCAATGACCAGTAACAGTGACAGTGACCAGTGACAGTGACAAGTGACAAGTGACAAGTGACAGTGACATTGACCAGTGACAGTGACCAGTGACAGTGACCAGTTACAGTGACAGTGATCAGTAACAGTGACAGTGACAGTGACCAGTAACAGTGACCAGTGACAGTGATCAGTCACAGTGACCAGTGACAGTGACCAGTGACAGTGACAGTGACCAGTGACAGTGACCACTGATTCGTAAAAAGTTTATACTTTTAAGATAAGTTAACCATTCCCCATACGGATATACTTAGATCCAAGCGCGGTCATTTAGTATTTACGTATGATCTGGATGTAACATATTTTGTATCGATAAGCCATTATAACGACTTACCTGAGTCCAGGTGTTGTCGGTGTCATTCTGTGTCACACAGACATAAGACTCCGGAAGGTGACATTACTTATATTGTTTACACAACAACGTTTGGGGAAACAAGGGGAAATATAGAAGTGGTATAACGCGTTCGGAATATTTATTTATTATTGAAATATGTCTATATATCTATAAACTAACTTGTTAAACAATGTAAAGCCCTGCCTCATACTTACATCACTTTTAAATGCTGGAATACAAACATTTATAGTGAATTTAAAATTTAGAATAACTCTTCTCTCAGATTCCTCTTGATTTCTCAGCAACATCCGATAAAGATCGTCTATTGAAATTACTCAATTAAAACTCTACGGGATATAACACACAAACTTTTGTTTAGTTTTCTCATTAATATACAAATTAATAAGCCTTGGCGCCGTTCCTTCCGAGTACCCCGGGGTCATTCCTTGGTCCAACATTATTTTTTGTTGGTTTTCGCACAAAATTGTCACTTGAAAATGATGACTTGGCAGTCTTATTCCTTGTACCCACTGTACGCCAATCAGTTACATATATCAAAATATTGAGCCAGATCAGATTTAGAGACACAGTGTACAATGGAAATGATAAAAAAACGATATACTTATATAAGATATGTCAGGAAATGTATCGATTGCATTCAGTTTAAATGTTCGGTAAAGAATGGTTAGTATAATGTGAGCAGGCGAATTGACATTCTACCGTGTCCGGATTTTGACATTTCAGCGTAATTGCACTATAATAGTGTCCCCGTTGTTAGTATATTGTGAGCAAGCGAGGTGTCTGGCTACCATGTCCGGGTTTTGACTATTCAGCGTAATTACACTATGATAATTTCATCGTAGTTAGTATATTGTAAGCAGGCGGTGTGTCTAGCTACCGTCTCCGGCTTTTGACATTTCAGCGGAATTACACTATAATAGTGTCCCCGTAGTACGTGTATATTGTGAGCAGGCGTTGTGTCAGGCTACCGTCTCTGGGTTTGACATTTCAGCTTGATTACACTATAATAGTGTCCCCGTAGTAAGTATGATGCGACCGGGCAGGGTGCCATGCTACATTCTCTAGGTTATGACATTTCAGTGTGATTGCAATGTTAAAGTATCCCTGAAGTCAGTATAATGTTTGTCTGGCAGGCTGTTATGCTACCATCTCCAGGTTCGGACGTTTCCGTGTAATGGCACATCCACAACATTCGCGGACACCGTGTTCATATGATACAATGTTTTGTGGTGACATTAAATCTTAAACAACTAAATCATAAGCCTTACTAACAAATGTCTTTATTCAGCTTTTTATCAAATAACCAGGCAGAAGTGTGATATAAAGTATTATGAATGACATCTAGCGTATGACCATTATTGATGGTTTGAAGGCTGTTCAATCTGACAGTTTATACTGACAATAATGACGGCTGTTCAACCTGACGGATTACACCGCCGATAATTAGAAATGAATAAGGACTGAACTACATGTATTTTGTTACAAAAAACTTTGTCATTTATAGTATGACATTAATGTCATAACAAGACCATTCAATGTTGAAATAAATCATCTCGATTGTATACACTTCAAGTTGTGATCGTATAAAAGACCTGTTGAAATGGACCATTGATTTCAATCACAAAATGAAATTAAAACAAAACACCTCCGTATATCTAATACATTTGTTTCTTCTATTCTTATTTAAATTTGATATTTTCTTCTTCAGTTAAGTATCGTGTTTTCAATTCCGTTTATTAAACAATTTGTACATGAAACATATGACAAAAAATCAGTTTAAAATCAGACATATAAATTATTAATACTGCGCAAAGGGATTTAAAAGTATCTGTCATCGTCTACTTGGTGCTTGATTACTGCATTCTGATATTCCAGAGTTACTGCCCTTTGTTTCTCTTTGTCAGATGGTATTGCAATAAACCTGATAGCCGATGGCGGCCAAGAATGGTCGTAGTTCTATGTGATCTCCAGGAGTTACTGCCCTTTGTTTCTATTTGTCAGATGGTATTGCGATAAGCTAGACTGTCGACGTAGGCCGAGAATGGGTTACTGGAACAAAAACGTATCAGTATCTGCTTGACGTAACTTTACTTTGACGTAATCTTGTTTGACCGGAAGCGTCGTGATTGAAAATGATGACGTAAGAAAAACACTTGCCATATCTCTGCTTACTGCACGCGATCTTATCACTGTTTTATATATAGAGCGTACGGAATCAGCTGAGTAGTTACTAATGCTGGTCCGTGAAAAGTCTGACTATACAACACTTTTAAAGGCGTTACGATGTAAGTTGACCAGACGGTGTTTATCTTGACATGTGTCGTTACCAAGACCTAGATATTACGATAGCCTTGTTATAGAAATACAATGTAGGCAAACCCTTGCCGTCTAATAGCTGTGTGTGTGTATATATATATACACCATGTTATGTGTGTCGGTAATTGATTCTTCTCTGTGAAATTGTTTCTCAGTCAATATACGCTATAATTTGTAAGAAGTCAATCACGGCTGGTGAAAGAAATTAAAGGTAACCAAAGGTGTACATGTCTTTGTTATGACAGCCAGGAATAACAAGTTTCAGACGTTAGTTCGGTAGGATCTTCTTATTAAAAAAGGAAAATACGATCTCTGAGAAATAACAAAACGTCTGCTGTCTTTTGACAAATATATTGGTGAACAAATACATTACAAAATGGAACCCCTGCCAATTAAAAATTAAAAACCGTTTCTGGAAATATCAATACAGTAACAGCAATTGAGACACTTTCTCAGAGAAAGCGGAAATGGTCTTTGATAAACCTACAACACGTCATCAGTATGATCATAGTCTTATGAATTTCTTCAGTTTTAAAAACCATCAAAGCAATAAGGTGAACGAACATTCACTGTCCCATTTACTACATGTAAACAAACAGAAGACGATTGCAATATCAAGATATTGTCTAAGTATGTAACCGCGTAATCGGTGAGTCAATAGTTTGACAATGTGATGTCCACACAGACATGGCATGAAACAGAGATGCAGGTATTTGGCCTATAAATACAAGCATAAGCAATAACAAAAATGGTACTACGTTTTCCAAACCCAAGGATTCTCCGCTTCCCGACGTTCACTTCTCGTCAGTGGCCGTTTGGCTTTGGCCTTGGCTACTTCTGCAGGCGTGGGAACCATTTGTTTGATTTCCGGTGTCATTTGCATGGAAAATCTGAGATTTTTCATGTCCACGTTGCTAACATCTCCTACCCCGTAACGGTTACATCGCGGGTAACCACACTCTAAGGTCGATGGAGAAACTGAAATAAACAACAGTCTATCCAGAAATTCGACAGGCTCACAATGCGTCGTGTACTTTAAGACTCCTTCCGACAACTCGCGCACACCGGAAATGATCTCAGAACTACTCAAAATTTCCATTTGTGGGGGAAACTTCTCGCGCAGCATCGAATACCACTTCCGTTTTGGCACAATTACTGGGAGGCATTCTAATTCCCATTGAACGTCCAGTTTACAAGCCTGTAAGGCATTTATAATATCCATGTAAGGTGTCTCGTTCTCTTCAACTCTTTGTTGAGCATCCCTAAAAACCGGTAGTGTTGTTATCTTGCCTGGTCGATGGATTATCAGCAGTTTTCCTTGTTTTGAAAGACATTTCATAATATTCTCAAACACATCAATAGGATTCTCAAAATAACGAATTGCATCTATTATGATCACTTTATCAAACTGGGGTTTGTTTGTGTCCCGACTTTTCGCTAACTGCCGGAAGTACTCTTCAGCTCCGACATGCGCAACTCGTATCGAGAGAACTTTCTCCGTGTCCGTTTCTACGTAGCTATAATGACCCGGTATAACGGACATGGCCGGTTCAAGGAGGCAGAATTTGTCCACTATTCTCTGAGCGAAACTTCCTTTGCTGTCCCCGATGTAACAGAACCGATCTGTTGTTCCTAACTCCAAATATTTGTGGATCAACGTAAACAACTTCTCGTCGTATTGTCCACCAAAAACATATTTCTCTGATTCGCCTAACTGTGGAATGTTATAGCGGTTCTGATACCCTTCGGTAGCTACTGATAGAGGCCGAGGAGTCTCGGGTCCGAGAAATGAAGAAGCCATGACCTAAGAATACTCCAGACAGTTCCGTATCTGATCCTATGATACACTTTGGTTACAAGCAAATCTGGAATAATAAAGGGAAATAAGCTATGAAACGGACATGGTCTTCATTTTTCTGATTATTTAAAAAAAATCTTTATACGGAGATGCCTTTACCATATTGCAATGGACATTCGAAACCATTGTATACGCCAAAACTACATTGAGGGGGAAAATTCTTAAATTCTTAGACCGACATTTGTTTTTTAAATTCATTTACCGAAATTTACCTATTCAGATATCACGCAGCCCATTATATATATATTTGGATACATGTTTAAGTCGGAGTTCAGTAAATCATTTGAAATGACGTGCCATTTTCAAAACGAATTTCATTCCTTTGTTAACAATTTGGTCAATAAAAATAGGGAAGTTAAATTCATTTTCATGTCGCGTAAAAAGGCTTAAACAGAGTGAAAGCCATACAGGTAAAATCCTTTCACAGTCTTTCATACAGAAGTCTTAGTTTAGCAGTGTTATTACTCTATTGCATACCTTGTCAGGCGACGGGACTCCTGTGATCCTAGAAAGGTCAGAGGTTAATTTCCACTTCGGTGCAGCTCTACGTCAACTGTAAATGATACATAACAGACAAGCTTTAGTGTAGATGTGGTGGGAACTTACCTGGTGTCTAGCTATTAATACCGAAATGTTTCAGAACTGATATCAACATTCCGTAAAAACACCTCTCAGCAAAATATATTTGTGTATAAAAATGTTTTCCTTCCCATCAGTAATTGCCTTTCTGCCAATTCCTCACCCAGTATGAATTCACATTAACAGTAAGTATAATAAGACAACCATTTCTGTTATTCATAATTTGCATAAGCATCGAATGGATTTCTATGGAGGTCATAATAACATGAGTAGACATTTTATTTTCTCGTCGATTCAATCTTTATAAATATACATTAATTAAAAACAGAATATGCTTTACAAGATTATGTACTGCTTCATATTCACTGGTTATAGACAGGTAGATATAGAAATATACCTAGAGAATCAAGGAATTGTAAACAATGTATAGAGACAGCTAGATAATTAAGGAATTGTAAACAATGTATAGAGACAGGTAGATATAGAAATATACCTAGAGAATCAAGGTATTGTAAACAATGTATTTCGTTTGAGGTGGGAGATGTATTGTATATTTTACCTATTTGTTGTAAATTTCAAAGCACAAGAGTGAGATATATTTAAAAAATCAGTTTTTGACGCTATTCAGGTGTTAAATGTCCACAACATGAAAGAATTTTGTGCGCTAGGAATATTTATTTTTGAAGCAAACAAAGTGAAAACCGTTCAGCTATGCTACACGTGGTGTGTATTGTTTCTGTAACAACAGATTTATTCTCTTTTTAATTGTACTTATAGGCCAATGGGTCTAAAGTATTGAATTCATCTTGATTCTTGCAAAAATAACGGAAGAAAAAGAAAAGTAGGAAAATAAGAGAATAAACAAACAAATAAATTAATTAATTGAAAACGGATTTTCTTAAGTATGCGTTGGACCTGCCACGGAGGAAGATTGTGATTAACTTCTGTACATAATACAGTAGTTTTAAGCAAATCGTGAATATGTAAGCATTCTAAACATTTTAACAATATAATTAAAGATGTGAAAGCATCCACATAACATCCACGTAATTATATATGTTTTAATGTTAATTTAATGAACTTTGAAATATGTGGAGATAAAGTATTCATATATATATATCTTACCTGTCAGGAACGAAATCCTGTATGCTGTAGAGCACAGGTGCTAAATAAATACCCTATATATGGATACCTGTACGTCCTAACCACAGTTGTCAGGTAACATAGGGGCTGTCCTTATCAGATTTCCAATATACAGGTATAGCACACAGTAATCTGTTTCTCAGGTGTACATATGTAAAGGTGTACAACGTTCAATATTTCATTTATTAGATTATACCAAGATCGAAATATTATGATTACGTGATAATACAGGTATTCAGCAGGTAAATATCGGCATAAGTACAAACACACAAAAGACTCGATGCGTGGTAGTCTTGTGTAAATTCAATACTAATAATACCATTGGATTGGTCAAGTGAGTTGATCTGTGATAACTAAGATCATTTTATTTACACTATTAGGATATAGGTGATACTTATAGCAGGTGTAAGTTAGATCATATCTAATTAATACTTATATGTAGTTCAAGCTAAAACAGGATTACTCTACTTCGGCATGTATGTAGTTCGATATAAGGTAACATGAGGTAGTTCGAAAAACATCATGCAAGTACCATTCCACTTCGACTTTGTATGTAGTTTCAGATAATGTTACATGAAGGTCATCTTATGTCGATATACATGTTATTCAAGAAAGAGTAATTTTCGAGTGATAACTAATCGGCAGATGTGTACAAGTAGTTCGAAATAAAATTTCACGAGATCCTACTACGTTAAAATGTTCATTGTCAGACAACATCGCACGAGGATCATTCAATGTCGTTATATATGTAGTTCGAGAACAAATTTCGACATAACATATTCTGTAACCAACATCAATGAAGGGTCATCCTACTTCAACAGGTATGTGGTTCGAGATAGGGTATACATCCAGGTTTATCTACCTGTATACTGGTACATGTGTACTTTGATGTTAACATTAAATAGATTATGGTCCCCACCGAACGAATATAAAGTTTTGCTTATACATTTAAAACTCGAGTTCGATATAAATAATGCTACAAGTATTTGACTTTGGTGATATTCATCTAATGTGTTAGAGCATTAAAGATGTTGAGTCGTCAACACCTCGTCATATACTTTAAGTTCAAGATATCGAACACACATCGATATATGTGAGTAATATGTTTTTTTTTTGTCGTATATGTTTTCAAACTGGAAATACTTAAATCGAATGCCTTTATCAGTTTAATGATCAACTCAGGACCAGCAATGTAGACTTTGGAATAAATTGTCATGTCACGACACCTCAGTAAACCTTAAAATTCTATTCTTCAATAAGAATGACTTTACAAAAAACACTTGACGATATTTGTCTCTTGAAAATCTCTCTTACCTGGACGTGTTCCATGTAGAATGACCCTACATATCTCCAGATTCTGGTATATCTCTGTATCTAGTTCAACATAAACAAGAGGAGGCCATTTTACTTGTGTCCCGATACACAGGTTGGTAATACGTGTACAATACCAGTTATGTGTATCTCCATTCACGCACAAGCCGTGACTTTAAATCGCCCAACGATAAAATATCATAGATCCCTTTAAGGCTATGACTCGTTGTTAAGGAAGCTTTACGTATTTAAATATCAGCGAGGTCAAAGTTCACACACTTGTCAATTTCTTTATAAAGGATTTGAATCAGGATCGATAAAGTAAATATAAAGCGTACAGACGAATATTTACATAGGTTCGTCCCAATCATACTGCACATTAAAAACTGTGATTGGAAATGCGTTACAAAATAAAATCTCCACAATTCTTTTCGTTCTTTTTTTTCCCACATCAGTTGAAAAGTACATGGTGACGGGAATTCAGAACGTTATGGTAGGAACGCCAAATCGATATATAAGAACAGTGAAACCCTTAGGATTAACAAACGGTCGTAGTCTGGTAATCTTTGCAGACACTCGAAAAATCAATGGAATTTGTAATCATACTGTAATTATATGAACAACTTAGTTATTATCGATTTTTCATCCTACTATAACGATAGGTTTTTCTTGAAGGGACAGATTGTTTAAATAAATGATTCCATTTGAATATGACATTTATACAACAAACGACTATTAGTGGTTGTTACGGGAATGTGTAATGATAACAATTATCTATAATTACGACATTATTTTCTGAGAGTTCTGCCAGCCGAGATGTAGTGCTCAAAAAATGTATTCTACTTAACAAGGCAAGATATACGTGACCCGGATGAAATACCAGTCGCTATAGGCTAGAGAAAACTTCGCTCCAGTAAGCCAGGTGTCCCGGGTTCGAATTCTACCGGAGACACTGAAGTAAATAATGGCCTTTATTGAATATATATAGCAGATATATCGAAGCCACGTTAACAAATTCAGCAATGACCGAAGAAGTAAGAATATTTTTAGTTACGATTTCTATAATTTCTTACGACAGCATATTAACCCTATTGTTGTCAAATGTATTGAAATTAGTAAATATATACGATAAAAAAATGCAATTGGGCACCAGTGTTCATATTAACATTTAATCAAAGACTGTTTTAAATTTCATATTGTTATCGATGTCAGGATCTGTACGAAGATGAACGATCATGTTAAACTCCAATGAGCTCGGGTGTACCCTAGGGATCTGTATGAGGTCCTGTCTGGATGGAATAAGTCTGTAATATGTACCCTAGGGATCTGTATTAGGTCCTGTCTGGATGGGACAATTGGTTATGAAATAAATCTGTAATATGTACCCTTGGGATCTGTAATAGGTCCTTTCTTATGCTGTTGAACTAACGAGATCTGCTCAGCAGAGTTTCCGGACAGATTGAGTATAATGTACGTAAGGACTCACATAGGGTACCACTCACACGAAGATCCGCTGTTTGACCTAAATGGATTGCGACAGGCCTCCCGTTTGTTTATCAATGTTGTTGTCATCAGTTACTACAGGAAATCCTGCCTCAAATAGTTTGACTTATTTAACGTCTCAGGTATGAGGCAGGTGAAACTCGGTACAGATACACAGGTAGATTCACTACCAGAGGACTCTTGGGTTAAAATTTATTCATATTGTCAGACTCAAAATATATTGCCTGTTGATGATAAAGAATGAATCCTGTGTCTGTTTCGTTCCACTTCGTTTTGATATACTAGAATTACTTCCCTTCCTTTCACCCCCATAAAAAGTGCTGAAAACATGATACCCCACAAAGGTTGCCAGTAAGTGTTCGTTGTTTAGATCGACGCAAAATGCAGAGCACATTACAGGTACAAAAATATTTTATAAATGTTTTGATATTTTAGCGATATGAAAATGTTTAGGAGGAGGATATGTGCAATTTAGAAAGTGAAAAGACACAATACAGAATAGAATATAAGCCATGATCTTCTCCTATTGATCCTTTATACACTATAACATGTGGCTGTTTGTGTTTCTCACCAAACTGAGAAACGGGACGGTCATTGCTGACATGATGTATGTCCTTAGACAGGACCCTTTACCCTAATTGTTTTGATCGCATGCGGCGTACCTCTCTTATGTTGTTCATTGAGGTAGCAACCAGCTACATTAATGTACTTTAAGGAGACCCGCCAAATGACCCTGGATGTTAATGTGGTTATAAAACCCTGCCGACAGACAGAGTAACAAACAAACTATGAAGTTTTTACTGGACGATGAATAGACCAGCAGTTGGCCTAAGTACATGCAGATATGAAAGATACAAGACACGTGAAGAGTTGTTTAGTAGCCTTACTGTATAGATCTGTATAGCTATCTAGGTATAACACTTAAGGACATATTGCAATTATATCTACAACGAAATAATCACAGCACGTAATATTAAACTATTGTGAATAGCATACAAACCGATATAACTGTTTAATACCATTAAATACGCGAATAACAAATCCAAGCTTAATTTTAGATACTTTATAAACATGACTGATTGCGTTCGTTCCGTAAAAAGTGGTTTTTCGTTCGCGGTCTCATCCTTCTTCTCGTTTTGTATTTTATATAAACCAATGGAAGGTAAAGGCCACTAGACCGGAATGGCTCTACTGCAGGTAGGCGGTAGCAAAATATAAACATTATGATTATAGGTGTTTAAATCGTTTTTTGATATCGACATTGTCTCTCTGTTAATAGCCACGCCGATGTTCGAGTTGATTTTAATTAGTGCTAATAATCAGAGATCAAAATGAAGTTAGACAGGAGATGTCGGGGCCCGAAATGTCAAGATATCGTTCATTCAACTGTCACTTGTTTTAGATGTGCGAAACATTTATTGTATGATAATTGACTGGATTTTTACAGTGGTTGAACACCACACTCAGATATATGTCCTGCATTTGACTGACTGTCGGATACTTGAGGTGTTGAACATCACACTAGGGACTAAATCCTGCATTTGACTAACTGTCAGATACTATTTAATAGTGTTACTGCTTTTGAGTAATACATTTGTTTTTATACAAAGGAAGATAACTGAATTATTCACTTTTTGTGTAAAACATGTTGCATTGTGGCCTAATATGCCATGTCCAAAATATGACTCCCATCATTGTTGTAAATATTTAAATAACTTTATGTGATTTTATTTCAAGTATCCTGCATTTGATAAATTACAAATCTATCACTGAAATCAGTAACGGTCATTAAATGGTCAGTGGCTAACCTGGTTAAGGTTAATCTTTGTTGATTAGAGGTTGCGCTAGAACCCAAACTCCTTCTCTTATTACCGGTATGTGTATCAATATATTTACAAATTCTTTATTTAACCAACATTTTTTATTTTCAGTGGAGAAGATTCAATTTCTTTGACAAGGAGACTGTTAAAGATCCTGATACTGGCCAGGTGTTTGATAAACTGAAGGTGAGATTGATTTCCATGGCAATTTAATTGATTCAACAATAACTGTTTTAACTTTATTGCTTATATTATGACTTAAATGAGTCAACAGTACCATCAGGACATCAGCATGTATTGAAAATGCTGTTGAAACAGCATGAGTAAAAATCCCCAAAATAACATGTTATTGTTTTGTTTTCCATTTTGTGTACAAAGTGTATTCAGAGCAATAGATTCATGTTATGAGACCCTGCCAGGCAACGAGACATAGAGCTTGTGTAGAAACGCCTAGCTTCATCACCTACCATGATTACAGTTATTTCCGTTCTTATCATTTTTTGCACCTGAGTTTAAAAAAAGTTAACACTCGTTATGCACTTACTTTAATATCTAGGGGGAGGGGGTAATTCCATAATCTGGTGATATGATGTATCTGAAAGAGGGAAAGATCACATATTTCAAATGCTGGCATGTTAAAAGAGTACCTTACCGCAGTAAGATACTTAATGTAGGTAGTAAACTTGAAACAACAGATTCCAACCTAAGCTTAGAGAAAGAGAAACACTTGATTGTATTATCATCATTTCATCGTTCCTTCATGACAGACTATCTGTTTTTAATCCCAGAGTTTATAGAAACCAACTCTAGACACAAACAGAGAAAATATGATAATGTTGTGATTACAGATTACTTACTCCTATGTTTAAACATTGCATGTATATATGTAACAGAAGTCATTATTTATTTCAATGCATCCGCTAGGAATCGAACCCGTGACCCTGGCTTACTAGTCTGACGCTCAACCAGTCGAGCTAAAGAGAAGTTCTCTCTAGCCGAGTAGTATTTTACCAGGGTTACATACATAGGGAGAGGGTAAAAATACAAACATTAGTGTTTAAAGCACATAAATATGTTATTGTAAATATAGGCCTAAAGTTGTCTTTGTTTCAAAATAATTCCTAATCACAATGCCTGCTTTTGATTTGCCAAGAAATCATGAAATTACATTTGTGAGAAACGTGACACTAACTGTATGACTTGAAGGGAATTGTTGCTTTTCCGTGGTAATTGTCTTAGCTGTACTATGGTCAAAAGTCTGGAGGTAGTCTTATTTATAACAAGATGAAATCACAAGTTTTTGTAATTCTTCTGAACAGCTCACTTGGGATGAATGTATGAAGTTTACCGGGTATGTGGTTCATTAACAGACATACAATACTCACATTGAAGAGATGTTTTTTAGGTCTGAAATTGTAAAATGTTTTATGTTTTTTACAGGATGTGAATGTATCTGCTTGTGTGAGTGGACATGGTCAGTTAATTATTGGTGACCATGAAGGGTTTCTGTACCTGGTCAGCAGGCAACTTAAACTTAGTGTGTTTAAGGCCTATGAGATCAGAGTGTCTCACCTTTTTCAGCTTCGACAACACAATCTGTTGGTATCAGTCGGGGTAAGTATATTATGTCTGTTTAATCTACCAGAGTTTAAACATTTCCTAAAGACAAATTTTGCTTGATTCTTGGCCCAATTGTAGTGTTTTTTGGCAAGCTGCTAAGTAATGCAGATACTTACATCACACATTATTATTTTTTTTATGTCATTAACAGTTAAGTACACACAGGGTTTTCCGTAATTTTGTTAGTAGTAGGCTGTGTAGTGAAAGTAGGAGGCTGGCCTGCCGTGTATGTGTAGTCATGTACGGGACATTATTACGGAACTGGATTGGTGTAGGCGGCCAAATGATCAAAGTAGCCGGTCAAATTGGCCAGCGACCGGCTCTTATGGAAAACCCTGACACATGTGGCAACTCAAGCTTGATGCTATTGGCAGTATCTCTGCTGGGTCTTGATATGTCAATGTAACCAACTGGTAATCTGGATAAATATTATCATTAGCTAAAACCAAAGTGAGGGAAAGAGTTGACAATACCTTTAACTCTCTGATGTTTATTTTTCAGGAAGATGAGCAAGGTGTCAATCCTCTTATCAAGGTCTGGAACTTGGACAAGGTTTGTTTAATTACTAAAAGATTTTTTATTGAACCTTCATGGAATGCTCTGGAATTTGAAAAGCGCTTATGTCACCAGTGAAGATCCCTAAATACCATAAATACACTGGATTTGTCCCTTAGATATTCCCATTCAGGTCAAATGTCAAACTGATATCAAATTGTCAATAACATTACACAAATTTATGAAATTCGAATTAACTAAAACAAATTTAGTTGAAGTAACAGCCTTTGTATTCTTGGGTAATTTTGGTCAATTTACAACTTAGTCATTTTCATTTCTGTCATTTTTTCAGAGTATAAATGCAGCTGTAACCGAATTTGCTGATCACCCCTGCAATAGATTTTCAGATAATTTCTTCATGCCTTTAATAAGCAATGATACAAGTTAACAAGCTGATTTTTTTTTTTTTTGTTTTGTTTTGTTTTTGTTTTTTTTTTTGTTTATTTTTCATGATTTTTATGATTTATTGGATTTGGTTATTTTAAAGAATTTAAAAATAGATGAGAATCAAGGCAAGGATAGTGAAACTTAAAATCATATTTTGAATTCTTTGTGTTTTGTTTAAACATTTCTGATTAATTTACTATGTTGTTGTCTTGAAAATTTTCAGATTGAGAAAGGTGCCCCTGTGTGTACAAGAATAACAAGAGCTATTCCTGGAAATAAACCTACCCCAGTAAGTATTTCATATTTTTATTTCTAGAGGATGTGAGTGTAGTTAGTAAAAGTAGTTAATTCAGATATCTAAAGGATGTATTCAAATGACTATTACTGGTCTACTACTCTGGTTACATCATCAAAAAACTCTGTCCAGTTTCCTAAATTAAGTTACAAATCATTGTGTATATATCGTAAGAATGGATTTTTTTATTATTATAAGATGCATATGTTTTATTCTATGTGCACTCTTGAGTTTAATAATGTTACAATGTATTTACCAGATACACAGTCTGTTACAATGATAGTATACCCTTACAGGTCACATGTCTAACTGTCCATGAGAACCTGGCCTGGATGGCTGTAGGATTTGAGAATGGAAGTGTGGTGCTTTTCAAGGGGGATGTCACTAAAGACAGGTATTTGTTAAATGTTTTAGTCTTTGTTTCTATTGTTTGTTTTTTCTTTGTGTAACATGAACTGGACCTGCCGCAGAAATTTTGATTTTTCTGGACTAGAAGCATCAACTTTCATCATTTCAAAATAGTGAGGTTCTTTCTAGAATTATTAGTTTTAATCATTTGTAACTATGTTGAACTACACAATGAAAATACTGTAGACTTTCAGGATTCCAGGGAACAGAGATTGACACTTATTTTATAGATATGTTATTTTTAAAAAATGTAATATTTCCTCAAAAACATATTATCTGGGATCACATTTCATAGTAATTCAATTAGCTATTTTCTTCAGCTGACTGTATCACAACCAGAACATACAGAACCATACAGTTCTACAATTATTTTGAAGACAAATTTGTACTTTCTCATGCACATACTAGATGTTATTATATCACTACCTGTTAGAAATGTATGTGTGGCGTTGCGATGACTACATTGTACCTTCATCAGACAAATGACATTTGTGAATCATATGTGATGATGTATCGTCTAAGATAGAGGTCATCTATCTGACTACAAAGTTAAGCTAATTGGTCAAGTGGCGCAATGGTAATAGTACCTTTTACCTAGCTGTCCAGGATTTTATTCCCGAAACAAACATAAAAAGGTAATGGGTCACCTGTCTCACCACGTGGGTTTTCCCCAGTTACTCCAGTTTCCTCCCACAATAAGACCCCTCGCGTGCTTACATCCGGGCCAACAAGAGTGATAAGTATAAGTTGAAATAACTTGTTTCGCAGTTGTTGTAAAATAAATAAATTTTATATTTAAATTTAAGCTAACAAAGATTTTTTTTTATGATATTGTTGAATTTGACATACTACCTGGGTACTTGAATATTTGAAATTACTTAGAGTAATAGGGGATCAAGTGTAATTGTGATTCAAGTTTTGACAAAATCTTAAGTTACACTCTTTGTGGCATCACCAACTAGTCCAGTCTCCGGGGAATAAACCCTTCATCAAGTACCCAACAGGTATTTGGATCTTAATCTTGTGTAGGATCACTCCAGCTGAGATACAATTATTTCACAGCAATTTACTTGTATAATTATATACCCGTATATCTCAGACAACAATACTCCAGTGTTATTGACATATCTGTATAGTCAGTGTGTAATCCAGCCCTGACCTTGGTGACACATTTTTCTGAACCAAATATACCTTATTCTTTGTGAATTCTTATAATAAAAAAATATTTTGATTTTTCTGTTTTTGACAGACACACCAAAACAAGAATTGTATATGAAAATCCAAAACCTGTTACTGGATTGGCATTCAAGACATCTGGATCTAAAACTATATTCTTATTTGTAGTAACAGAATCTCAGGTTGTTTCTATAACAATCTCCGGCAAACAGGATCAAAAGGTAAGTAACTTTCTGGTCATTTGGAATAGGTGATTGGTTTGAACATGTGACTTTTTCAATTAAAAACAATAATTTTTTGTCTAGCGATAGTTTGAATCCTTTCTAGTCTTGTTTCCGTTACAATTTAAATTCTTTGAACACATGGTGAGGTTGTATGTATGCCTGACTATTGTTAGGGATATTGGCCTCACAATAATTGCTCGATGTGGTCAGTATTAACACTGATGGTAAATGCTGTTGGCAGTCGGATGTAGATGACTGTCATAGGCAATTGATACAGCCAAACTAGACACATGCATGTCACTTAATTAGCATTGATTTTATGTGATTTCTTTCATATCTTGCTGTCATGTTGTGCTCTCACTAGCTAGCTAACACAACTTGGGGCCCAATTTTCTATTATAAGTGATAGGTTCACAGAGCATGGAATGCTGTCAGGTATATTGTCCAAGAGCAAGAATGTTTTACCACACATTTTTATGCTCCCTGATGGGAGAGTATATAATCACCACTTGGACTTTCCATCTGTCCATTTGTGTGTCCACCATAATTTTGTCCGTAGCATAGCACAAAAACTGTAAGAGGTATAAACATAAAACTTCATAGGTAGATAGATCGCAACAAGGAGAAGTACACCGTAGAAGAAACCTAACTCTGTTTTGCATAATTTAGGAGTTATTGAAACTTAGTGTGTTACATTGGTCATACTAAGAGAATATACAGTATACCAAATTCAAGGCCTGCAACACTCTAATTACAGAGTTATTGCCCTTTGCTTAAATTTTGTGTCTAATATATTAAAGTCGTTTTTGGGGAGCATTCATCAGTTTCACTGATACTCATGTGATTAGATAATCGCATCAAAACTATGACTAGTATTCATTACATCAAGTGAATCATTGTAGAACTCACAGTTCTGCTTTGTAAACACCAATGAGATATTTTAGATCGAAATTAATCTGTAGCCGTATGTCTTTTTCCACACTCTGCATGCTAATATGTCAGTGTTAGTTTCTATCAATACACAAGCGGACATGTTTTTGTCCTACATGATTCCTTTGTCATGATATCCAGTATGATGAAGGCCAAAATGAAAGGTGTCATTTCTTATCAGTTGGTAAACATGTAACTGTGTCAAAAGTTAATCATATTATTATGACTATTTTTTTGGGAAATGTTGACCTTTATAGTTCACTCTCTGATTTATGTTCACAAGTATAATTTTATGTAATTTGAGTGGGTTAAACACTTCAATTCTGTTTGGACTGACTGAAGGTTTACCTTATATAGAAACAAAATTAGAAGGTAAGTGTTGTATGGACAGACTAATCAAACAGCACAGGATCTAGTATTGATTCTGAGCATGGTTGACAGCTAGCTTTTATGAGTGTTGTAAAGTATCCTCGAGGGGATCTATTTCATACTATTTTTGAGGATGAAATATATTTAGAAAATGGGATAAACTTTCACAGTAATTTCCTGTTTGAACACATGACTGATTCATTAGATAAATGATAAATAGAATTATGTTGTAATATCACAAAAAAATGAATCCTTAACTGATTTGTGGTTACAGAGCACGGTTGAACACTTTGGTGCATCGCTTCATTGTACAGTGATGAGTGACCACACTCAAGACCACCAGCTAGTTATGGGTAGACAGGACGTAAGTATTGTGTAGTTACATGGGTACACAGGATGTAAGTATTGTGTAGTTACATGCGTACACAGTATGTAAGTATTGTGTAGTTACATGCGTACACAGTATGTAAGTATTGTGTAGTTACATGGGTACACAGGACGTAAGTATTGTGTAGTTACATGGGTACACAGGACGTAAGTACTGTGTAGTTACATGGGTAGACAGGACGTAAGTACTGTGTAGTTACATGGGTACACAGGACGTAAGTATTGTGTAGTTACATGGGTACACAGGACGTAAGTACTGTGTAGTTACATGGGTACACAGGACGTAAGTATTGTGTAGTTACATGGGTACACAGGACGTAAGTACTGTGTAGTTACATGGGTACACAGGACGTAAGTACTGTGTAGTTACGTCGGTACACAGGACGTAAGTACTGTGTAGTTACATGGGTACACAGGACGTAAGTACTGTGTAGTTACGTCGGTACACAGGACGTAAGTACTGTGTAGTTACATGGGTACACAGGACGTAAGTACTGTGTAGTTACATGGGTACACAGGACGTACTGTGTAGTTACGTACTGTGTAGTTACATGGGTACACAGGACGTACTGTGTAGTGTGTAAGTACTGTTTACATGGGTAGACAGGACGTAAGTACTGTGTAGTTACATGGGTACACGGGACGTAAGTACTGTGTAGTTACATGGGTACACGGGACGTAAGTACTGTGTAGTTACATGGGTACACGGGACGTAAGTACTGTGTAGTTACATGGGTCGGTACACAGGACGTAAGTACTGTGTAGTTACATGGGTACACAGGACGTAAGTACTGTGTAGTTACATGGGTACACAGGACGTAAGTACTGTGTAGTTACATGGGTACACAGGACGTAAGTACTGTGTAGTTACACACAGGACGTAAGTACTGTGTAGTTACATGGGTACACGGGACGTAAGTACTGTGTAGTTACATGGGTACACAGGACGTAAGTACTGTGTAGTTACACACAGGACATAAGTACTGTGTAGTTACATGGGTACACAGGACGTAAGTACTGTGTAGTTACATGGGTACACAGGACGTAAGTATTGTGTAGTTACATGGGTACACAGGACGTAAGTACTGTGTAGTTACGTCGGTACACAGGACATAAGTACTGTGTAGTTACGTCGGTACACAGGATGTAAATGTAAATCTTCATACTATTACCGCCCTCTTTATACTGCCAAAATCTGTGACAGCAAACAATGGCAATGTTACCAAGACAGATTAAAACATAAATCATGATACCACTGCTGTCTGTTTTGCAGGCAGTTTATTTTTACCAGCCAGATGGACGAGGTCCCTGTTTGGCGTTTGAAGGGGAAAAGCTTCACCTACAGTGGTTCAGAGGGTATCTTATAGTGGTTGGAAAGGAAAACAAAGCTCTTCTTCGTACTGCGGTACTGTAAGTATTGTAGTGGCAGTATCTTAAATAGGTCAGTCTGGAAATAAGGTCACTAGAGGTCACAAAGATAGAGCCCCTCAAAAATACATAATTTTACAGTAATTCTGAAGATTCTTCTAAATTGAATATTTACAGGGGTTTTGATGAAGTGTTTTGGGTCTGATAATAGGCCCAATTATCAATTTAAGTTTTTTTTTCATATTTAAGCCAAATTTCAAGATTTTCAATGTACTCCTAAAATTTCCTAACAAGTTTATTCCCAAAATGAGGCGAAAATGCCCTATCCAAAACCAGCGAAAAAACCCTGATATAGATAGAACCAGTGTGGTTATCTGTCTTAAGAAATCCTGTCTGTATATTATAATATGTCATACCTTTATACACAAAAAACTTTCTTTTGCAATACATCGCTAATCTATCAGTATGAAAGATATGTTAGAATTTGTTTCCAATGATATTTCAGGGGAGGACAGAGCTTGGAGATGAACATTGTGACTGTGTACGATATCCAGAATAAATTTATTGCTTATTCAGCACCCTATCCTGATGTGATTGGAGTCATGTGTGAGTGGGGCAGTGTCTATCTATTGGGCGGAGATAGAAAGGTAAATTTTGCCAAATTCATGAAACTGACAGTCCATCTACTGCCGAGTGCTAGAAATTTTGTCTGATCAGATCTGTTGAATACATTATGTTTCACAGGTAAATTTATAACCGTGATCATTGTTATACCATGACTTGGCTATTAAATAGTGATTCAGATATTCTGAAGTTGCAGATTAGGTCATTGTCTTTGTTATTTTATTTGGGGAAAATAAACCCTTAATTTCCCATGTCCTTTCAGTATGCCTATTAAACTAATATAGGATTTTCTTGATGTTCACAGCTTTATCAACTTCAGGAGAAGGATACTCAGACCAAACTAGAAATGTTATTCAAGAAAAACAATTATCAATTAGCCATCAGGTGAGTCTGGTATGACAAAAGGGTGTATATCAGGCTGTCTTCCCTTCATGGGAGAAAGAACTGAGGTTGGATGGGGGACGATAGGATGTATATCAGGTTGTCTCCCCTTCAGGGGAGAAAGGACTGAGGTTGGATGGGGGATGATAGGGTGTAAATCAGGCTGTCTTCCCTTCATAGGAGAAAGGACTGAGGTTGGATGAGGGATGATAGGGTGTATATCAGGCTGTCTTCCCTTCATAGGAGAAAGGACTGAGGTTGAATGAGGGATGATAGGATGTATATAAGGTTATCTCCCCTTCATAGGAGAAAGGAATGAGGTTGGATGGGGGACGATAGGATGTATATCAGGTTGTCTCCCCTTCATAGGAGAAAGGACTGAGGTTGGATGGGGGATGATAGGGTGTATATCAGGCTGTCTTCCCTTCATAGGAGAAAGGACTGAGGTTGGATGAGGGACAATAGGATGTATATCAGGTTATCTCCCCTTCATAGGAGAAAGGACTGAGGTTGGATGGGGGATGATATGGTGTATATCAGGTTGTCTCCCCTTCATAGGAGAAAGGACTGAGGTTGGATGGGGGATGATAGGGTGTATATCAGGTTGTCTCCCCTTCATAGGAGAAAGGACTGAGGTTGGATGGGGGATGATAGGGTGTATATCAGGCTGTCTTCCCTTCATAGGAGAAAGGACTGAGGTTGGATGGGGGACGATAGGATGTATATCAGGTTGTCTCCCCTTCAGGGGAGAAAGGACTGAGGTTGGATGGGGGATGATAGGGTGTATATCAGGCTGTCTTCCCTTCATAGGAGAAAGGACTGAGGTTGAATGAGGGACGATAGGATGTATATAAGGTTGTCTCCTCTTCATAGTAGAAAGGACTGAGGTTTGATGAGGGATGATAGGATGTATATAAGGTTATCTCCCCTTCATAGGAGAAAGGACGGAGGTTGAATGAGGGATGGGGTTTGAAGTGGTATTGGCTCATAAAACTAATATAATATATTAGGAAACATAGAAACTACAACCTTTTGTGTACTGTTTCATAACAATGTTCATTATGTTATACTCTTTTAATCCTCATCCCTTTTATTGGAGCATATGTTACCTGTCCATCACATGATGTCTGTTGGGATCATATTTATCATATTTAAGGGAGTCATTGGTCAAGGATGAAGGGTTAAATGTCAGATTTACACAGGAATGATGACATTTATGTTTGACAGATATTGATAAGTTTGTCTACAACCTTATAATGGGCATGTTTATTAGTATTTTCTTGGTTTTACTGTATTTGTACCTGGTATTTAAGGTTTTCATGTAATGCTCACTTAGTCTAGATGGAATTCGGGAGCCTACATGCAGTATCTGATAGAATCACGTGAGTATTTTAGCAACGCGAAATCAGTGATATATGTGTTGAAAAGGTAATGCCTTAAATTAAGAATAATTTGATACACCTTCACATTTAATTGACCCATTTTTAATGTTTGTTAATTAGTATCTGTTTTATATTCAGCCTTGCTCAAAGTCAACAATATGATGATGATGGTCTGATCGACATCTTCACACAGTACGGAGACCACCTCTATAGCAAGGGTGACCATGACGGAGCAATTGATCAATATATCAAAACGATTGGCAAGCTGGAGGCTTCATACGTCATCAGAAAAGTAAACACGCCTTCTTCTCAATAGTAACTGGACCATTTTAGATAGCTACTTATTGTGTTCTTAGAAAGATAATCTTGACCTTCTTCTTATTGTATTTTATCATAGATAAGCCACTTCCAATATGCAAAAAAAAAAAGACTAAAAGTTGTGAGTGGTTTTTTATGAAGGAGGGGTCTGTTTCAGTATTTTGTTTTATGAAGGAGGGGTCTGTTTGAGTGGTTTTTCATGAAGGAGGGGTCTGTTTGAGTGTTTTTTTTTATGAAGGAGGGGTCTGTTTCAGTATTTTGTTTTATGAAGGAGGGGTCTGTTTGAGTGGTTTTTTTATGAAGGAGGGGTCTGTTTGAGTGGTTTTTTTTATGAAGGAGGGGTCTGTTTGTGGTAATACATAGTAATCACAATCAGGAGGATTGTAGAAAATATTAATACCTAATTATGAAAAAAATTCACCCCCATGATGAGTCTTTTAAATCAAAATTAAGAAATTTCACAAAATTAAGTGATTTTGATTTGTATTTTATCACAGTTCCTTGATGCCCAGAGGATACATAACCTGACCAAATATCTACAAGCATTACATAAAGCTCAGCGGGCCACAGAGGAACACACCACACTTCTACTCAACTGTTACACTAAACTCAAGGACGTTAGTAAACTCGACGAGTTCATTATGGTGAGCAACTCCAAAAGATATGGTACTGATATATGTTATAATTTGTCTTCATTTTTGTTTTCAATTTTTTTGATAGTATTGATTGGAGAGTTACCTTTCAGATAGATTCATTATTTAGTGCGATTCTGAGATAATATTCATGTATTAAAATTAAGTCTAATGTACGTCATACGAAATCCATGGCTGTAAGTAGACTTAATTTAACACAGTCAAATCTTAGTGCATTGTCATATTGTTATATATTTATAATGATATATAGATACAACAATAAGTGCCACACTTTCTGTGTGGAAAACACTTAAATAAGTTTACTGTTACTTAAATTTCTGGTGTTATTGGCTCAGACTTAGGTATTCTGGATTATCATCAAAAGAATTGAAATTAAAAGTGAAGTTAGTTTTTTGATAGATGTTCATATCAGTAATTTTCTTATGTATTAATGGAGGGAAGACATCTGAAGATTTTAAATTGGAAATTTTTATTTGCTCTGTTGGAGTATTCAGAAGTAGTTTTTTCTGTAGAATAAATAATTTTATTCAACAATGAATATTTTCTCTGGTTTTAACACTGTACTTGATTAATCTATCTTTAGATAATAGACTATTTACGTATAGATGCTGTAAATACACACACTTACTGTCTGATGCTCTGTCTTTTTGCACTTTTTTCAATAAAATTTTGTTGAATTTGAAATATATTTATATGTATATATATTGTATTTAGACAAAGGATCGGGAAGTAGATTTTGATGTTGAGACAGCCATTCGTGTGTGTAGACAGGCGAGCTATTACACCCATGCTCTCATCCTGGCGGAGAAACATGCTAAACACCCCTGGTACCTACGTGTACAGTTAGAGGACAGTAAGAATTACCAAAAGGCGCTCGAGTACATCGGCAAACTGGAGTTTGATGAGGTACATTCTGTGCAGTCCATTTATCATTCTGTTTTATTTCGATTTCATTGAAAGTTGAGTAGAGATATTTCTAAGGTCTCATTAGTAGGTTCTTTACTGATCACTTAAACATACAGTATAATCATAATAGAGAGAGCTTCATGGGCTTTTCCTGTTTGCCAAATTCCATTTCTCAGAAATATTCTGACATGAAAAATGAAAATCATCCGTTTTCTAACCTTGGGTTTTATTTCTGTTAATTTTGTGGTTATTTATACATATATAATGATAAATAGTGAGATAACAATTGGCTGGAATATTTTGTGTTTTGTACCAGGTGTTTTATGAGATCAGGTGCTAATTAGCAAAACAGAATCAAAGAAAACAAAACTTGATCCAAACAAACATGTAGTATTTTACAGTATTTGTCTTGAAGCTTGATCACAAACAAGGGGAAAAAAAGGAAATTGTCATGATGAGATATTTGTTAGGAAATATTATTTTGATACAAAGTAACTTGCCACAACTTTGTTAGTATAATAGATAATCAAAAGACCAGAAAATTAAGCACTTATAAAGATAGATAGAAAAAATGAAATGTCTTAGATGGTAAATGTTCAGATTTGTCCTAGATGAAATTGTTCTGGTGGGTCACTGATAAGAATAGACAACCCCAGTTAAGTGCAGTATGATATTAATCTGGAATCTGTTACAGGCTGAGGAAAATCTGAAAAAATATGGCAAAGTACTGATGTCAGAAGTTCCGCGCCAGACAACCGAGCTACTGAAACGACTGTGTACAGACTATAGGCCTGCAGATAGTAAGTAGATCTGTGTAGAGATCCTTCTAAATGTAGATAAAGCTTCACTGTCTATAAACAGACTACAGACAGATAGTAAGTAGATCTGTGTAGAGATTCTTCTAAATGTAGATAAAGCTTCACTGTCTATAAACAGACTACAGACAGATGGTGAGTAAATATGTAAAGAAAACTACAAATGGTACACATTCAGAATAGATTCTATCTTATGAATCTTAGTTTCATAATAATTTCAATACAATTAAATTTTGTCAGTATATAGTCAATCTGTAAAGCACACACATAAACTGACCTCAAAGTACTTCTCAGCTTGAGTGATTGCCTCTTTAGCTTGATCAGTTAAGTGTAAGACTAGCCAGAGATCCTTGGTTTAAATCATTGCGAAGGCATTGGTTAAGTGTAATACTAGTTTGCCAGAGATTCGTGGTTTAGATATTGCAAAGGAATTGAAAGGAACAATGATCTCTTTTATATGTAAGTTGTTTGCATAGTATTAATGTTTATACATTACACAGACATATGCTGATACAATACCTGAGTGAAGCTTAGTGACCTTGTCTGATTCTTTATACCACACATTATCTACAAGAGGACCATTAGTGTACATTTTACCTACTGGGGATGCTATTACTGTATGATGTATAATTATGAAATGTTTTGATTTCCACAGAACCATTGGTGGATCAGATGAACATGGAAGGTAAGTTTCTACATACAATAAATTCATTTTTCATTTTGATAATGTTTAGTGCTAAATTTTTAATACCTAACAGTTCAAAATCTTGGAAAAACATGATTTTCAATATATACTGTTACTAGGAAATTTCATCCCTCTTGTAATTTTAGCCCATTTGTCCATGATTAGCAGGGTGAATTTTACATTGGAGGATGGGGGAGGACAAAATGAAAATGAGACAAATTTTGTAAGAGATGCCTAGTAAACTAAATCACATCTGATCAGTATAATGATAACAAATGTTTTTCATTTTCCAGTAATAACTCCACCCACTAATTTTGATTCAAAGTAAATTTCATCTGGTCTTCCTTTTTGTTCAGTATGGTATAAAGATGTAGTCTATGAGTTTTATTGATTGTAGGTGGAGTAGCTAGGATACAGAAAGCGAGTGCTGAAGAATTTATCCACATCTTTGTTAATAACTCGCCAAAACTTACAGAGTTCCTGGAGCACATGATCAAGGTAAGATTATCAACCCACACGATGTAGGGTTTTAGACCACTTGATCAAGGTAAGATTATCTACCCACACAAGGTAGGGTTTTAGAGCACATGATCAAGGTAAGATTGTCTACCCACACAAGGTAGGGTTTTAGAGCACATGATCAGGGTAAGATTATCTAACCACACAAGGTAGGGTTTTAGAGCACATGATCAAGGTAAGATTATCTACCCACACGAGGTAGGGTTTTAGAGCACATGATCAGGGTAAGATTATCTTAACCACATGAGGTAGAGTTTTAGAGCACATGATCAAGGTAAGATTATCAACCCACACGATGTAGGGTTTTAGACCACTTGATCAAGGTAAGATTGTCTACCCACACAAGTTAGGGTTTTAGAGCACATGATCAGGGTAAGATTATCTTAACCACATGAGGTAGAGTTTTAGAGCACATGATCAAGGTAAGGTTATCAACCCACACGATGTAGGGTTTTAGACCACTTGATCAAGGTAAGATTGTCTACCCACACAAGTTAGGGTTTTAGAGCACATGATCAAGGTAAGATTGTCTACCCACACAAGTTAGGGTTTTAGAGCACATGATCAAGGTAAGATTATCTACCCACACGAGGTAGGGTTTTAGAGCACATGATCAGGGTAAGATTATCTTAACCACATGAGGTAGAGTTTTAGAGCACATGATCAAGGTAAGATTATCAACCCACACAATGTAGGGTTTTAGAGCACATGATCAAGGTAAGATTGTCTACCCACACAAGGTAGGGTTTTAGAGCACATGATCAAGGTAAGATTGTCTACCCACACAAGGTAGAGTTTTAGAGCACATGATCAGGGTAAGATTATCTAACCACACGAGGTAGAGTTTTAGAGCACATGATCAAGGTAAGATTATCTACCCACACGAGGTAGGGTTTTAGAGCACATGATCAAGGTAAGATTGTCTACCCACACAAGGTAGGGTTTTAGAGCACATGATCAAGGTAAGATTGTCTACCCACACAAGGTAGGGTTTTAGAGCACATGATCAAGGTAAGACTATCTACCCACATGAGGTAGGGTTTTGAGGTCCTAGACCACATCAAGGTAAGACTGTCTACCCACATGAGGTAGGGTAATATAATTATGTCTTTATTCTGGAATTATGTTTATCGCCTTATAAAGTAACAATATCATGTTTCTGGTTCAGTATCTGACAATATCAAATTTATTTTATCTCATTATCTTCAGTAAGCTTCTAATTAAAACATTTCCCTGTATATTTTCAGAAAAAATAATAAAAAAAATATCTGTTTATTGTATAACATCAGATATAATTCATTATTGTAGAACTGTTAAGGTAAGATTTAAAGCCTAGGCTGTAATTCTTAATGTGAATACTGTTTCTTTGACTTCCAGGTACAGCCAAACTCCCCGAGTCTACTGTACAACACCTTACTGGAGCTGTATCTTCACGAATATGTACACGAGAGAGACATTTCTGTAAGTAAAGACACACATGTTAACAAAGTTTCTTCGCTCGTAAATTACTGTCACAAATATGTAACCCTGGTAAAATACTAGCCGCAATATACTACGTTGCTAGAGAGAACTTCTCTTTAGCTCGATTGGTTGAGCGTCAGACTATTAAGCCAGGAGTCCCAGGTTCAATTCCTAGCAGAGGCATTGAGATGAAAAATGACCTCTGTTACAAATATCTCTATCAAATCTAATTCATAAAGTCAATTGCTGTGAACTAAGACATAGACACAAAACCATGTTACTTCGTGTAAGATGGTAAAGATCGTTTTAATGGAAGTGAACCAACCTTGTGTTGATATGGATATCATGAAAAGAAGTTGCTAAAAGAAGTCGGTCGACAGTGTTATACTAAGGAATAGAATATACACTAATTTTTTGTTATCGTCATGTCTTTGAAGGATATGGATGTGTAAGAAATAGTTGGGCTAATTATCGGGCATGGGCTTATTGGAGGATAAAACACAAATAAATTTATAAAATATATAAACATAGATGTACAGAAATATATCTGTAAGTATAATCACAAGATGGACACAGTCAGATGATTGAAGAGCCAATGTTATTGACCACAGGTTGTTGATACCATTCAGTAATTGTATACAAGATGTGTACTCGTTAATGTAACTTATGTATGAGGGGAAAGATTTTTTTTCACGATATTAACTAAACTTTGTATGCTACATTTTGACAGATCGAGTACTTTTGATATTACCATAGTCATCCAACTTTGTACAGTGTGAATTTGGCTTCTGTTGTGTAAAATTCCATCCCCTGATTTATGAAATCATGCTATATTTCTTTATCAATCTAAAACTCTATTGTCACTAAAATTCAATGAAATCTTCAAGAATTGTCAAATTCAGGAATGAGCTATTATACTTGCAAGCACTTGTGATAGGATGCTTAAACTTTCCTCACATTAATGACCTTGAACTTTTTCTTGGTCATAAGGGTAAAATATGTCTAAAACTTCAAAAAAATTTATTTAGAAAACCAGGATATCAGCTGTACTTATGTAGGATTGTATTGTGTAGACCAGCACTGTAAATCCTGACTGAATGCAGATTTTGATTCAGTCTCCTGTTCACACATGTTGTGGAAATCAAAGGAGTATTATAGTTGAAATTCGTTTATTTTACAGGTAAAAACAGAGAAGGTGAGAAGAACTGAGGAGCTACTAAAGAATCCGGATGTAAGAAAACTTTTTACACTTTATATTTCAAATTATTATCATAATTTCATTGAGTGAGAGTTCAGCTGTTTTGACAAATTTTAACTAAACATAATCCAAAGTTCATATTTGAATCCTAAAGTTCAATATTATTATTTTGGAGTCAATGTCAGTGAAATCTTATCAAGTCTTTTTTTTGTCTTGAAATAAAAAAGGAAACAATCCAATTAACGTAGATCCGATCTTGACATACACCTTAAATATTAAGTATGAAAATAGTAAATATCATCAAGTATACTGAAGATAAACACAAAAACAAAACTAAAATATAGAGTTACCTGTACGATAAAGTTTCACGGGATAGATAGATAACTATTCATTCTTTCCAGCCATTTTCATAGCAACGACCTCATAACATTATATATATTCCTTACCATAGTGACATCTGTTTTGTTTGTCTAATTCTTGACCTTGACCCTTGACCTTTAGGCACGATATGACCTTGACCAGGCCCTTGTTCTATGTCAGATGAACAATTTCAAAGCTGGAATACTCTACCTGTATGAAAAGGCTCATTTGTAAGTAAAGTTTATTTTATGCCAACATCAATAGTGAATTCAGTAGATTTGGTTTTGTAGTTTTCTTTGCTTATATTTGAATGATTTGGATCTAAATATTTCTGTTAAATGTCCTCGATTCATTTTCCTGCAATGTTGGAATACTGGAAAAATGAAAAAAAAAAAAATTATTCATAGCATCTAGGGGGTTATATTGTATTGAAAATTTACTGGCATGTTACAGATGTAGGACATTTTCCTGCAGCTGATTAGTTTTTAACCTCCCTTATTACCACCAGTGTGGTTTTTTGGCTTGTTAATATAACTTCCTTAAGCAAACAAAACATACAAGGGTATTTTTAAAACTGAAATTACATTTAAAAAGTCAATGGATTCAGTGTGAAAAAATAACAAACAAACAAAAAATCTGTGTTTTTAAATGATTTAAACTTGCACTTGGTTATATTATAATAAGTTTTATTTAACTGATAATATATATTTACAGATATCAGCAAATTCTTCAGTACCACATGGAACATGATGATTTTGTCCATGTAATTGATACTTGTAAAAAGTTTGGGTAAGTATAATAATATAATTGTAGATCTATTAAGTTTTAATAAGTACACAACTTTACTACTGTTACTGCAATTTAATCACTTTGTTTTGTAATATTCCTGTACTTCATACAACATTGTATCTGTGTAAAAAAATGTCTGATCAGAAACATTTCTACATAGCTGGAGAATTAGATATTTTGTTGATAATTTTCTATGAAAACGAATATTATACACATGTATTTTATTGGGTGTTGAATTCAAGAATTTTAATTGTCAGTTATATTATGTATACAGGGCTCTCACACCCCATTTTGGGACTGGGGCCCGGGGCCCTTAGAATTGGGAAAAATAATGGTGTTTTCCTTAGAATTGGGAAAACTTGGGGTCTAAATTGGGAAAAAAAGATACTATTTTGCATTGGGAATGGGGCCGAATATCAGCCCCAAATCTGGCAGATCGAGAGCCCTGGTATATAATATAATATGTTAGATTATGAATTTTTCTCTAAATACACAGTTTATAGTGGAGCTGTTACTGATTCATTGAATTCTGACAGAGCTAAATTGTTAAGACATTCTTTGAATGTTTGACAAATGTTTACATTGTGTGATGTTTGAAATTCTCCCCAGGGGACAAGACTCCAACCTTTGGGTACAGGCCTTGTCATACTTTGCCAGGAAAGAAGACAACTGTAAATCACAGCTGATGGAGGTCTTGTCTCGTATCCTTTCAAACATTGTAACAATTGGATGTTTATATAGTGTCTTGTGTTACTGTACTTGTACTGTACTGCTTGGCTTGTCCTAAAGAGAATGTAACCTTATCAACTTCAGATGAATTGCAAGCAGCATATTAACAAATTGAGGTTGCCACCCCTTACTACAAGATGAAGATAACCCTGAAGAACTTTTCATTGGATCAATTGCTTGTCAGAAATGTAAATCTGAGGTTTGAAGCCAAGAAGAGGCATTGTAATAAATTATTACTGCTGTTACAAGAAAGTTGAAAATGCTGAAGGTAAGCAATGATTGACACTAAAAGCAGTTCAATTCTTCAGTGTATAAAATGTTGATCCCTTGGTATTTCCTACCATAAGATACCTTACACTTATATTTATATACACAAAACATTATTCAGTATTAAATTCAAAACTGTAACAGAATGAACAAATTTTATATTGTAACTGGAAAAAAAACAAATGTATAATAAGGGAGATTTTACATGGGTTTAGTAATCATAAGCCTTAACTGGTAACCAGATATTGACAAGAAGAACTTATTACCTCCCTTGCTGGTAATACAAAGTCTGGCTCATAACTCTACAGCGACCTTGTCAGTTGTCAAGGTAACCAGCTTGGAATAATCTATGTAGATTAGGGACAGAATAAAATCTACCAACTTTAATAATGTTTAGGATAGAAGTCTCCTGCTCGAGTCTTTTTTCTCTGCTGTAATACCGTTGATTTGAAATATATTTTTTTCTGTAAATATTGCACACCGAAAAGAATTCACTTTTTTTTTTCTTGCCGAGAATTTTCTATAATATCTATTGATACATTCAGTAAAATTATACTTGTAGCAAACACATTTACGCTACTGGTTACAAATTTTTAGGTATTTTTTTTTTTTTTTAAGATTTTTTCTTCAGGTTGGTAAATACATTACATATATGTTAAATAGATTTTTTTTAAAAATCACATCTGGTTGTTTGTGACTTTTCGGTCAACTTCAGTAGATAAAAAAGCTCATGAAGTGTATGTGCACTGTCTTGGTTACCATCCAGTACTTTTGATACTAGAATAGGCATAAGTTATTTGTCTGAGGAAGGTTACAATTGACATTGTTATAAGTATGTCATGTGACATAGAAAAGGAAAAAATGATTGAAACAATTTTTTTGTATAAAACATTTTATTCAAATACTGAAAAATGTTGAATATTGGAGATGAAGTAATGAATAATTATGTTTTCCGAAGGATTATATCATCAGACGACTTCAGCTGGAGAATGACCAAATCGCCGAAGACGAACGACTTATTAAACAGTACCGTGAGGACACAGAGAAAAAACGAGCTCAGATTGAGGAGATGAAAACTACGTGAGTTGGAGCCTAGTTTGTGTTTATGAATCCAGGTTGAGTGTGGTCTGTAGTAGGATGACTCCATAGTGTATCCTGGTCTGTGTTTATGTATGAAGGTTGTGTGTGGTCTGTAGTAGGATGACTGCCTTGTGTACCCTGGTCTGTGTTTATATATCAAGGCTGAGTGTGGTCTGTAGTAGGATGACTCCATAGTGTATCCTGGTCTGTGTTTATGTATGAAGGTTGTGTGTGGTCTGTAGTAGGATGACTGCCTTGTGTACCCTGGTCTGTGTTTATATATCAAGGCTGAGTGTGGTCTGTAGTAGGATGACTCCATAGTGTATCATGGTCTGTGTTTATGTATCAAGGCTGAGTGTGGTCTGTAGTAGGATAGTGTATCCTGGTCTGTGTTTATGTATCAAGGCTGAGTGTGGTCTGTAGTAGGATGACTCCATAGTGTACCCTGGTCTGTGTTTATGTATCAAGGCTGAGTGTGGTCTGTAGTAGGATGACTCCATAGTGTATCCTGGTCTGTGTTTATGTATCAAGGCTGAGTGTGGTCTGTAGTAGGATGACTCCATAGTGTACCCTGGTCTGTGTTTATGTATCAAGGTTGTTCATTTTAGGAATATTATACAATTGACTATCTTGTTAAAATGTAATTTCTGACCAAATTGGCAATGGTTGTTTTTGGATAGAAAACAAATTTGAATTAATTCTATAATTACTATTTGAACTTGTATTTTTCAGAGCAAAAATATTCCAGGCGTCTAAGTGTAACATATGTAACCATCCTCTAGAACTACCCTCTGTACACTTCCTGTGTGAACCTCATTCCTACCATCAACAGTAAGTATTCACAACTCTACATCTTCTTTTTTCCATTGATACAGATTCCAGATGTTTTAACGTCTGTGTATATAGGACCTAATCCTGTGTTGTTACTGTATTTGTGACTACCATTTAAGATGTTTTAACGTCTGTGTATATCCTGTGTTGTTACTGTATTTGTCACTACCATTTAAGATGTTTTAATGTCTGTGTATATCCTGTGTTGTTACTGTATTTGTCTCTACTATTTAAGATGTTTTAACGTCTGTGTATATCCTGTGTTGTTACTGTATTTGTGACTACCATTTCAGATGTTTTAACGTCTGTGTATATAGGACCTAATCCTGTGTTGTTACTGTATTTGTGACTACCATTTAAGATGTTTTAACGTCTGTGTATATCCTGTGTTGTTACTGTATTTGTCTCTACTATTTAAGATGTTTTAACGTCTGTGTATATCCTGTGTTGTTACTGTATTTGTGACTACCATTTAAGATGTTTTAACGTCTGTGTATATCCTGTGTTGTTACTGTATTTGTCTCTACTATTTAAGATGTTTTAATGTCTGTGTATATCCTGTGTTGTTACTGTAATTGTCTCTACTATTTAAGATGTTTTAACGTCTGTGTATATAGGACCTAATCCTGTGTTGTTACTGTATTTGTGACTACCATTTAAGATGTTTTAACGTCTGTGTATATCCTGTGTTGTTACTGTATTTGTCTCTACTATTTAAGATGTTTTAACGTCTGTGTATATCCTGTGTTGTTACTGTATTTGTCTCTACTATTTAAGATGTTTTAACGTCTGTGTATATAGGACCTAATCCTGTGCTGTTACTGTATTTGTGACTACCATTTAAGATGTTTTAACGTCTGTGTATATCCTGTGTTGTTACTGTATTTGTCTCTACTATTTAAGATGTTTTAACGTCTGTGTATATAAGACCTAATCCTGTGCTGTTACTGTATTTGTGACTACCATTTAAGATGTTTTAACGTCTGTGTATATCCTGTGCTGTTACTGTATTTGTCTCTACTATTTAAGATGGTTTAATGTCTGTGTATATCCTGTGTTGTTACTGTATTTGTCTCTACTATTTTAGATGTTTTAATGTCTGTGATTATCCTGTGTTGTTACTGTATTTGTGACTACCATTTAAGTGTTGTTGTGCACTGTAGTAAAACTTTTAACCAGGTGTCCTGTATTAGACTTTTTTTTTCAGCTGTTTTGAACTTTTATGCAAGTCTGATATCAAAGTTATTCAGCATGTTTGGAAGAAATGAAAACAACAGTTACATAATTGTTGTTGCTATTTTGTGATAAAATTGTTTTAGGCATTTGTACATAGATCATATTACTTTGTCATATTTCAAGACGCTTCACTTAAGTTAAGCATCAGGAAGTGAAATGTTTCATGTTTCAAGCTGCTTCACTTCAGTTAAGTATCATGAAATAAAATATTACAAAGTTCACAGATGATTGAGGGGTGCATAGTGTAGGGGGTAGTGGAGGGGATAGGGGGTAGGGGTGTATAGTATAGGGGGTAGGGATGTATAGTATAGGGGGTAGTGGAGGGGATAGGGGGTAGGGTGTATAGTATAGGGGGTAGTTGTGTATAGTATAGGGGGTAGTGTTGTATTGTATAGGGGGTAGTTGTGTATAGTATAGGGGGTAGAGGTGTATAGTATCGGGGGTAGGGGTGTATAGTATAGAGGGTGGTGGAGGGGGTAGGGGTGTATAGTAGAGGGGGTAGTGGAGGGGATAGGGGGTAGGGGTGTATAGTATAGGGGGTAGTGGAGGGGATAGGGGTGTATAGTATACGGGGTAGGGGTGTATAGTATAGGGGGTAGGGGTGTATAGTATCGGGGGTAGTTGTGTATAGCATCGGGGGTAGGGGTGTATAGTATCGGGGGTAGGGGTGTATAGTATAGGGGGTAGTGGACGGGATAGAGGGCAAAGAGTTACAGTATTAGTAGATCAGTGATGTGAATGAACTTTTGATAGGCTATGGTTTAAGGGCAATCGTCCCATTTCCATGAAAAATAAGTTTGGGGGCCAGTGAGTATAGGAATGAGTATGCTGATGAGGTAGAATATGTTACTTCAGTTAGAAATGCTCTTTAGAGATTAAGTATTACAAAACTTAATAAAATTAATTTCTCCTGCTGAGTTTATTTTTACTGTTTTTTGAAATCTGTTTGGTAATTGTTGATTTGTATTCTTAATCACACTAAGCTGGAGAGATCCCAGGATGGATTTTCTGTAGTGGCCGATTACTTTGGACGCGGCGTTTTCAACAAGGTAAATATATCTCCTAAAATCTCCAAAAAAGGCCAACCTCAAAAATACACCTGTCCTGAAAATAAGATCGTTTTTTACTGAAACAAACTTGCATATGCTTACTATAAAGGTAAATATACCATGTCTTATTGTCAAGGTTTTAAGGTTTTGTTTGTAATAAAATTTGTACGAAGATGAAAAGTAGTTCTGTTGCTTTGGTTAATTGTAATTGTGAAATCTGTTGCCATGTGTATCTGTTGTGACGATCAGATACCATACCTATCCACTGTAGAAGTATTACAAGTTATTGTGGTTTTATTTTTGTTTATTTCATAGGTTCTGTACTCTTAACACAAAAATTTTCATGTCCGCAAGAAAATTTTATTCCTAACTTGAAAAAATGAAAGAAAGTAATTTTCGGCTGAGGTCCAAATTGTTTTAACTTTGAGAGGTATGCTTGTGAAATAGAAATGAAATAATATTGTGTATTTCTTTTGTCTACAGTCTTTTTATATGATTGCAACATTTATAGTTGTTAAAAATTGACAACCTTCCCAATATTATCATTTTATTAGGAGAATCTACAACATACAAATGTGTTTATTTCAAGAGATTCCTTGGAGCATGGAGGCAAAGTTCTAATTCACTACAATACCAGATTAAGTGATATACTCTTATCATTATACATTTTTCACAGGTGACCATAATTACAGACTCTCCAACAAGACAGAGAGGGGGAACAGCAGGTTCTTATCCATCAAAGCACTTATAAGGACACGAGAAATCCTGCTCTCCTAAACGCCCACGAGACTTCCCTCATCAATATCACAGTTATGACTGCTTCTGGGTGCTTAAAAGAATTTACTGTAGCTGTTCATAAATAGTCACATTAATGTAGCAAGATATGTTTTTTTGCCAATGTCTTGTACATGCAAAATCAACAACATTTTCATCATGAGGATTCACCTGGATGCTACCATTTGTCCTGAAGATTAGTCACGTTTTTTATAAATACATGCTGCTGGTATCCAACATTCACAAGACTGCCTGTATCATTCTATATTAAACTTCTTTGATGATGTTAAACGTGTCCTCCTGTCTAATGACCTTGTTACATTGGTAGACAGTCGTGACTGAATGTGTTCATTGAACTGCCTATATCAATACCTTTTATGAATTAGTTATTAATAGTTAATATTAATGTACTGTGACGCCTGTTTTCTGTGGTTCAATTTTTGTTTGCTTTTTTTTTTTTTTTTTTAAGTTGAAAGAAAGAAATTTACATAGAATTTTCTTCAGAAGCTATGAAATGGACCATGATTTTCTCAACAAGTTCGATTTCATGGTATTTTTTTGCACTGTCCTTACAACCTTGACAGTTATGAAGTTAGGAATTTACAATTTTTCAACTAATTATTTAAGATAAATAAAATAAACTCAATTACTTTTCTTGACCAAAAAACAAATACTTTTTAGTATATTCCTTAACAGGGAGGGAACAATATAAACCCACAGAAAGTTGTCAGATTGATAACCTAATAACTAAATAACAAGCTTACCATCAATGAAATGAATCCTGATTATTTTGTTTAAATGTCAGTATTCTAGCATAACCACTATTCCTTTATATAGAATTAAAATCATAACCGTGCTGGATTCATTATAACTCTGTGATCATACATCTATGTATAGTTGTCAATAAATCCTTTGATTACAAAAGCCTTTTGGTTGTACACAGTATGATCAGCTGGCTGAACAGATGTGGTACATACATAGGTTTTCTAGTATTTTAACATCATTTGTAGGGTCAATATATGGAAAGCAGATAAAGTGATGATCTGGTTCCAGATACACTCGAGTCATTTAAAATTTTTTATACACTCATAGAAAACTAGCATGATACCTGTAACATATTCTTGCCATATTCCTACGTATGTGTATTTTTCATCGTGTACAGGTGAGATAAACTTATCATCAGAAACGTTTATTCCTGATAGAATAGTGTATAAGTAGAAAAGCTGGCTGTAGGTTTTGATAGATGGGTAAAGATGTTTTAGTGCAATATATGTGTATCTAGATGTGTAAGCTTGACAGCTTGACAATAATGCTTAGTCCTCTTAATTAGGAGAAGCTCTGAAATGGAAGTCTTGTGTTCATATGTTTGTTTCAAATATTTATACATGCCGTAAAATTGATTTCTGTGATTACTACAAAATCTGAAAACTAATGGATATGAATGGTTAGAGAGTAAGAGACCTATTGTAGAGATTTAGCTTAACCACACTACTTTTGTATAGATTTAGCCAAGGTAACTAGTGTACATTTCCACTTGTTTCATTATGACTATAGAAATAAGACAAGATAATATTTGCAGAATATTTCTTTCTATAAGTATGTTTTTCTGATGAAAATCCTGTTAGGAGTACAATTTGTGTTACAAGCGGGCTTCATTTTTAGCGTCAATTAATATTGTTTAAATTAATTCATGGTTTAGACTTCCTTTTTTTAAAATCTATGTTGCCCTTTCTAAAACATAAAACAGGCAAGTTTTGATCCGCCTATTGCTCTAAAAGTTTGGAATGATTTGATGGTCTAAGTAAATTTGTTTAACGAATTTATATGGAGAAAAAGAGGAATGATTGTATAATGATGTCAGCTTCCTCATAGTATTGTGTCCTTACTGACATACTGTATATATATATATATGTATATATATATAAGTGTCACACTTGTGGATATT